CGATCACAGACGTGACTGCTCTTTATATAACTATTATAAATCATTTAAGTTTGTTGATGAATATGGATTAAGATGGAAGTTGTGATAAAAACAAACTTACAATAAACTGATAAATTAGTTGATCCTTGTCCACCAGAATTACCTCTACAAGACCATGTTGTATCATCTTGTTTATTTATATTACTTATATTGAGATATAGTTGTTTGTTGTTATTATTTATACATCTACATTTATATCTATTATCTATTGCCCCAACCTCACAGGTTGAAAACAAAACTGTACAAAAAACAATATTATCTCTTCGAAAATCGAAAATACCGGGTGAATCTGTAACATCACATTGTAATGTATAATTTCCACCTAACTCTGCACAACTTTCAGGAACTCCTCATTGACCTGTAATATATACATTAGTTAATCTCTTATACAATGATTCAAATTGTTTAGTCCAGATTATCCGAAAACCAAATAAAAACTTCCAAATGAATTTTGGCTTGTAGTCAAGTTAGAAGTTACTAAAAATTTTGAAGTGACATTTCTCGAGTGTAAATTATGTATCTTTCACTATATACGCAATAGGTTAAGTTCCTTGTTCACTAATGGTAGACTTGAAAGCACCGGAGTTGAAATCAGCTACACGGCTAGAAGTTCCAAAAGGTCCAAAAGCCATGAGATAAGGTCTCGTGCCAAAGTCTGAGATGTGCTTTGACATAACATAAGACCGACGAGTTGAATCTTTAGATAGTGTTTAAAAGATACTCTTATAGGCTTCTCTAAAGGCGTTTGGTAAGACAGAACAATTTGCCCATGTATCATAACATGTGTAGCCCAAACCACAGCTTCAACTGAGAGCCATTTTAGCTACAACTTAACAACACAAAGAAGCCTACACCACATATACAAGAAATAAATAGAGGCCAGCACTGCGGCAATAACTGGGGAGCACAGAGAAGCAAACACTACGGCTACAACAGAGTAAAGAGAGGAGCCAACACCAAAGCAAAACTAAGCAACACAGAGAAGCCAACAGGTCAAAGTCAGAGCTACAACTGAGATCATATCGTAATAATAAAACATTGTACGGTTCGAAACTTATGTTAAAGTTGTTAACAATAGGTCACACAGACGAGTTTTGTAAAAATTAAGATTTTTATTTGTATTTTGGGTTCCTGTCTCCCATATTTATTATTCTTTTCTGTTGAATGTTTTAATAGTTATGTCTTATATTGTCTCATTTTTTTGCTTTTATGTTATTATGTGACGTATTTTTGTAAAGATTGTTACACTGAATTAAAAAAAAAAATCATTATCATTATTACATTACATTACATAATTGATTCTTTATTTAAACTTTATGTTTTAAGGTGAAAGATGGCTGACGGTTGGGGTAGATACGATGTTGTCTGATGTTAAATATAGTGTATACAAAAAGCTAGCCATGCGATAAAAGTGCTCAGCTTTAACAACTTAATGTTAGTTGTGCCAAAGAAATACAAGTTTACCTAGACGTAATGGGTATACATTATTTAAAATTATAATCTCCATTCATTGAAAACTGTATACAATGTCTATTTATAGTACAGACTACAGTGAACATAACTTATTTGACCTAACTAAACCTGGATATAGCTTAAATCTGTTTCTACATATTGCAAATTAACATAAATTAGCAATAGAAATGAGTTCTAAAATTCCCGTGAGATCAAGCCAAAACACTCCGTTAAAGCGCACCAGAGGAGAATCTACATTATCTGATAATTGCAGCTGCTAACTATAGCTGAGAGTCAAGAATCAGCATGGTATGCATGTGTATGCTAAAACTCAGGGTAAAATTAGAGTGAAAGTAGATCTTTTTGAGGACAAAGATTTAATCTGCACCAAATAGATTGAAAACTTTATGTTAATTTACCTGTCATTATCATAACTAACGTTGACCTGACATCTAAGATTAATGTCAAATGTCAATTAAATGCTGCAATGAACCTTCATTATGAGTGTAACAACTCATTCTGAATCATTCCGACAGTAATGCATCCACAAAAATCACTTGTACACTTTACACTTTGTGTTTGACAAGCATGTAGGCAAGATTAATATCATATTTTAAATAATTATTGATCTTGCAAGATTGAATAAAAAAAAATCATAATTAGGAAGATTTATTGAATTAACGATAGAATCGTTATTGGTATCTAACGCTTACGGGTATATTGAAGAGAAGTACTTCTTAAGTAGGGTGAGGAGGATAAATAAATGTATGTGGGCATGTATGTATTGTAATTTTTCCAAAGTGAATGGTAATTGTTAGAGCTTACGAATATAATTCACTTTTTAATGTAGGAATTTAAGATGTGCACATAGGATCTATAGTTAACACATTTGAGTCGTTTAGATTGAAAGCTATAAAGCATACATATCTTAGCATATTATGCATCAATTTATTAGTCGCTCTTTGCCGAGACTCTAAGCAAGGTGAACGATAGGTGTGTATAGTATATAACTATATATAGTCGCTGCAAACAGATTTACATGACACTGTTATAGATATCAGAATGATATGAATGTAGATATACTTTCCCTATGTACCTCTATATTAAGTCTTTAGGAGAGGTGGATAATAAGATGTACAAATCCAGCATATTTAACAGAGCTATACTTAAAGATTAATTGTATAAGAATGATTTTCTTATTATATTTCTAATTTGGTAAAAGTCTAGTCTTATTTTATATTTTGCATCAGACAACATGTCTATTTTCTTATTGTAAATAAATAATCCATTATGTTAATTTAAGTATTTATTTATGTTTTGTTGAATCCTTATTTTATTATTTTGAAGCTAACATGTATATAGAAATACCAGTAGAGAAGATTGAAGCAGGTACTATTAATCTTGAAGCATACTTCAGGCAATCGCTAAATTTGTCACGATGGCAGGCAGAGAAATAATCAGAAGTCATAAATGACATGTAAGAGGACTTCGAAATGATCTAAAGAGACAGAAATTTTTTCGCTGGTTAAATGAGCAAAGGCAAAATGTTATATTTCTTTAAGAGACACATAGTTGTTTAGCTGATACCTTTCTCATGGCCGTACAATTTCATCTGGAACATTAATATTGACTAAAAATGAAAATTTAACGATTAGAAAAGAAATTTCTGGTATTCAGGGATATAGTAAAATGGTAATTCTCGATATTTTAAACTTTATATTAGTATTAGCTAATATATAAGAACAAAAGGTATATTGTAACAATTTTTAAAAATCTGGAAAATAATTATGGAAACTTTGTCTTAATTTGTGGAGGAGATTTAAACAATGTTTTAGATATTGAGTTAGATAGTAAAGGTGGGAATTATAAAGAAAAACTAGGTAAACAGAAAATTACAAATAGTTTCAATCTTACGGATACATTTAGACTACTACATAATAAAGAGTTCAGCTAAATAAAAAAAACATCTTATTCAAAGTAGATTAGATTATTGGCTTGTTTCTGAAAATCTTGCGGACTTTGTAAGGCAGTCGAATATTGAATCAGTCTTCTTCTCAGATCATAATGAAATAAGAGTTGATTAAATAAACAAGGGGCCTAATCTATGGATCTTTAATATAACGTTAACTCAAGATAAAACTTAAATAAATTTGATTAATTTTTCAATTGATGACTGGACTTTAGAATGTCATGACTCGAAAATACTGGCCCTTCAGAATCAACACAGAACAATTCTGTGATATTGATGAAGTATTAGTTTATTTTGACACCAGATGTTAGCGCAGTAGTAGTTGATGACAGAGCTTATTTTGATGATTCGGAGATAAACGGTGGGCGAGGGAGCAATGCAATTGTAACGTGTCTTCTGAAATGGCTATCATCCTTAAATCCTATTTTACAATATGTTAAATTGGGACATCAAGCGAATCAAAATGTTGCTGCGATGTGTTTGTATGTTGTACAAAAATACACAAACTAAAACAATAACTCACAATTTTCGGGAGTGGCCATTCTCACATAAAGCATGTATGTTGCCATAGAGTGTGAAAAGAAACTTGTACCTGTTTACACCATGCTTGATTGGATAACAATATTCCGCACATCTCGACGCAAACCACCTTATGAAGTGAATAATCTTGATTTCCAGTTGTTGGCCCGTAACATTATGAAGAATAGAAAGAAAGGCCAACATCGTTAATTATACAATATTTACATTTCTACTATCACTCCCTTAAATAAACCATTTAGCCAAACCGGGTCATTTGTCTTGTCACATGATAAACCAGCGTTTATTTCCCCATAACGATAACAAGATCCACATTCATTCCTTAAGTACAGACGTATTAATCTCTTCAATCGTGGCCGGCCTCCAATTTTTGTTTTACAAAATAACTGGACACAATTATATGGATAACAATTACTTTAATAAATAACTTGCGACGTTTCGACGATGATGCTTTTGTCTTTATCAAGCAATGATTACTACATGCCATATTAAGGTCTTAACTCCGATTTGTAAGGCAAAAAGAATGATTTAGTAAACGATGAAGCCAGGAAGCCATTCCAAAAGAATTACAATTATAAATTACTAGCTACCAGCAATCAGTCCTAAAATTTTGTACCCGAACCCGCCCAAACAGATTCTGGTGAAGATGATAAAGAAAGTGGATCTGGTAATGATACTGAATCCGAATAAGTTAGCCAGAAAGTACTGGTCGCGGATTTAAATGTTGTGTTAATTGTAGTTCACTTGTTATGATTTTGAATGACAAACATTCTTGACTATTTTGTTATTTCATATCCAGTAATTAATAATGGATCTAAAGTTCTGTTCTGTTATTATATTGTTCAATAATTGTAATATTTTCTATGCTTTAATGTTATATTTAATGCTATAATTACTGCACGACAAATTGTTATGTCCTTCACATACAAAATGCACACATCACTGTAATGTTAAGCATGCTCTTTCGGATCTTTGTAAATACAGGCTTTACAATACAATACAGTATAATACAGTACATTTTATTCAATACTTAAAGGCTATGCCTATTGTACACAAATATACATAAGAAAGAAAAAAAAAAACTATCAAAAAATATAGTTGCAATAAAATATATATATATAAGTGTGAATTATTTTGTATCCTTTAAGAGCGACGAAGGGAACTTCTTCTAATTTACAAACAGAATTAAAAGTTAAAGTTGGTCCAGAGTAAGTTTTGCATTAAATTAGCCAATTTTTAGAATATATGTAAGATAATTCTATGTGGTGCCTACGAAATATAAACTTGAATTAAAAGTTAATGATATTCGGGCAAAATAAAATTAAATTAAGCTTAATATTATTTGGTGTATACAGGCCTTTATCTATGGACTATGAGTAAATTATATGAAATAATTATAAAATTAATCTATGTACAATAAATGAATTAATAGAAACTAACTCTTACATAAAAACTACATATTAATTAGGGCAAAAACATTATTTTCATGACGAATTTCATTCGCTTTTATAATATAACATGCAAGATTAATGTTGATTGAGAATTTGATTGAAAAAAATGAGAAGTTTCGACAATGATGGTTTTTTTCAATAATATGTCGCAAGAAACTGACTCTGTTGTTATACTAATGTCATTTATATATAATATGGAACAAGTTAGAATGAAATTTACTATTTACTTTGTGGTGTTACACTTCTCTAGAAACACCCTCTCGGCGACCTTGTTCAATTCTAAGTCTATGAGTTGAGTAACGTAGATTTGTCGGATAAAATTCCAATTTATGAGACAATACATACATGTATATAATATTTTCACATTTAAATTGTGTTTTAATCAAAGAATAATCAAATAAATTTACTAGATTCGTTTATTAAATGATAGAACGCCATGATTTGGGGTTTATATCTTTTAGCCGATTCTTGAATTGGAGCATAAACTGTCTAATATCGCCGACAGATTGTGCTTCCCACTGAATCAAATCATACAAAAATCTATAACATAGATTTGGTAATCTATCATCCGACATAAATTGCAGAGATAAATACTAAATTGGTTTGCACATACAGTTCAATGTACTAACTGTTTTGTTTAGTAGTCAGCAATTTTTGCTTACGATGTTTTTGATTATTTAAAACTATCGGTTTTTCATCGAATCAACATTGGTTAAATGTAGAGAATAAGCATGACAGAGCTGTATTTTAATTAGATACCATCATAAAAGTCAGATGTGCCTGTGCAATATGTCTGAGATAATATTTAAATTAGCATTCATTCTTTAATAGTTTTTGCTTTTTTATTTCCAGGATCTCAATTTCTAATAGTAATTTTTTAATTGTCAGTTCTTGTACTCTAGCATTCAAATCGAAGAGTCTATCCTGCCTGTTGTTGCAACATGTTTTAGTTTCCATTTCTTTGGCAACTGGTGTCGAGGGAGTGGTATCAACTTGTTGCAAGTTTAAAGTTTTATCTCCAGAAGCTGAAATATGAAAATATGAACTTGAACTTGTTATGAATACTGTCGCCTCATGAACAAAGAAGTGAAAATAGTGAATAGGTAAGTTTTCTTACATCTTATGGTCTGAGTAAACGAATGAAATTAAAAAGAAGGCTAGAATTACTGCTATTTAATATATAGTTAATATATTTTATTTATGAAATACAAAGCCTTTTAGGCCCGTCTAAAAAAATATTTACATTTTTATTTTTCTGAATATATTTTGCACAACTCTATAACAATCTATATTGAACCCTGAATATTAGCTGTACTGACTAAATGTGTACTAAAAGGTTAACATTTAGTAGTTGTAAGGCGGGGCAATATCTTTATTAGACGTACGTGTACAGATTATAATATACTGACTTAATATAAACTTAAATCTAATATTTAATGGGTGAAGATTTAGTAGTCAACTAACCAATAATATTATTAGCTGTTCATATATAGATTATAGTTTACTGACTAAATATATATTCACATCTAACAGTAATGATTTAGTATTTAATTTACCAATAACATTATTAGCTGTTCATATATAGATTATAGTTTACCGACTAAATATATATTCACATCTAACAGTAATGATTTAGTAGTTGACTGACCAATACTATTATTAGCTGTAGATGCCCCAGTACAATGAACTCAACACGAGTCTAAATTTAAACTTACCTCCATCAATAATCTTTATAGTGTAACTTTTATCATCACCTATACTATTATTAACAGTTACAATGTAGTTATCAAATGATGATTGTTGTATTGTGAATGTTAAACTTGAAATATAATTATTGGTAGCTTCTTGTTGAGTTGTATCTGGTGTTAATTCTTGTCCTGTTGATTCTTGTATCCATTTAAAACTAGGTTTAGGATATGCTATAACATCAATAATTAATGTTACTTCTTCACCTGTTCTACTTATTACAACATCTTTTAAATCACCATTAATTCTTGGTGAACCTAAAACAAAAATTCGTGGTATAAATATGTTATACTTTAATATTTAATCTTACAGAAGTTAAAGTGGACTGACAAATACAATAATTAGCTGTACACATATATAGATTATAGTATACTAATTAAATAATATTCATCTAATATTTAATGGTAAAGATGTAGTAGTTGATTGACCAATACCATTATTAGCTGTACATGTATAGATTATAGTATACAGACTAAATAATATTCATCTAATATTTAATGGTAAAGATTTAGAAGTTAACTTGTCAATACACTAGCTCTACATGTATAGATTATAGTATACTGACTAAATATTACTTACATCTGATATTTAATGGTAAAGATTTAGTAGTTGATTGACCAATACCATATA